AACAGTACCATAAGATAAACTTAATGACGGAATATATATATATATGGTTGCATTCAAATACAAACTTGAGCTCGTGCATGCATTAACATACTTACATGCACACGGGGCGCACTGCCAACAATTTATGGGATTAGCTCGTGCACACATTAACATACTTACATGCACACAGCGTGGGAGGAAAAAATCACAACCATCCATCAAAGCTCGTGCACACATTTATACTTACATGCACACAACGCGTAGAAGAAAAAAATCACAACCATCCATCAAAGTTCGTGCACACATTAACATACTTACATGCACACATGCACACTGTGTACACTGCCAACAATATCTGGGATCAACTATTGCACACATTAACATACTTACATGCATACAATTTGTATTTTAAGAGGTTTTGTATTTTAAGAGAGGTTTGTATTTGAAATATATATATATATATATATATATAATTAAATGGAGTAGGAAGGAAATGGGTGGGTGTGAAAGTACCTGGAAATTGAGGTGATGTTTGTCTGAGATGGGAGAAAAAGAACATGAAGGAAGCAATTAAAAGCAAATGATGGAACCTAAATAAAAATATAAAAATGATATGATGAGGAAAAAGGACAACTGGGACGAGCAAGAGAGAGTGTGATTAATGTGACAGACATCATGGGAAAGAATATATATGAGGAGGGAATTCAAACACGATTGCAAGCAACAGACAAAGAGAAAACCAGAATTACTTTTTGATTGGACAAATCTTATCTTCTTCTTCTCCTCTCCCTTCTTCATTTCTGCTCGTTGGAAAGTGTACAGATCTGAATGCATTTTTTTAAATATTTATTTCATTATTTTTTGCCACTATCTGAGATTACCGTCACACCCCAGTCCAATAGAGTATCTGCGATCAACTTAACACAGAAGTTATACTTTTGCTTATTGCCCCTCACTTTGAAAGGTTGATCTCACAGTATAAGACTCAATCTCAAGTCTGTGACCAAAAAAGTTGTTCATGCAGTTACGAAGTCATAAATCGCTCTACTGAGAATCAAATTTAAAATCTTGTAGTTACGAAGTCAGTAGACTTACGAACTCGGGTTGTACCAAATTATTTCATTACTATTATTATTATTATTATTATTATTATTATTATTATTATTATTATATATATATATATATAGAGATACATTGATGTCTCTCTCCTTCATCATCTGATAGACTGGGGGAGGACCGGCCAACATGAATTATATTGCTGTCAAGCACGTGACGAAATTTACTTTTCAACCTCATTGAAATGAGCATATAGGTGGAGATGCATATTTGGTTCATCTCCTTTTTCTAATTCCAGCTACTTTCTATCGCTCTTTCTTTCCATCTTTTGGGACATGGGATGCGAGACCACAAAACTGAGTAAAACAACTACTTCTCTGTAGGTATTGGATCTACTCCACAGTTTGGAAAAAAAGTGAGTGTATATATACCATTGACCGTCCAAATACTTGGATAGAATGTTGCTGAAATTTCTTGTGTGCACCGGCATTTGACCCTGTCTACTAACCCATTGAGTTAATAACCTATTGAGTTACCGTGATTTACATCCTCCCACATATTCTGTCGAGTCGGAGTATGGGGGGCCCTTAAAGTTGGAGATTCGGTCTTTTGGGGTAAGAATGTTGCTGAATTTTTTGGGTAGTTTAACATTGGACATGTAACATGTTCTCCTAATTGACAGTCCAAATCAAATTTCAGTTATATATATATATATATCTTCTATTTGATGGTATACATCCACGATGTAAACTGCATTAGAAAGATGTTATGCAATGAGCTCGATCAAAAGAGTGTTGGTAACAATAATATTGTGACCATCTTTGTATCAGAATCATGTATACTCTATTCACTTGCCCATTTTTTTCGAGACATTATTGTCGCTAGATATATTTTATAAATTTTTAGCCCCAATTATAAGTCGTTAATTAAAAACATTAATCGTTAACAAAATTGGACAAAATTTTCTAAAGATTAAATACAATATGTTTTTCTTTATTTTTAGCCCCTAATAAAAAAATCCTGAACAACAAGTACGAACTAGTTAAAATTTTCAGATAGTCAAACATTGAACGAGTTTTCTTAATTTTTGATCACAACAATAAAAATCTAGACTTCCAAGTTTATGATTCTTACCAACAACAAAGTAGAAATTTATATAAAAATTTATCAACAAATATGTCTAGCAGTGATAACTCCCACCAAAGAGATGAGTTTTACATAGCATCCAAGAAAATACCATTTTTCTTTTACATGAGATAACGAAGATGGGTAAAATAAATGGTGCGATAGAAGCAAAAGATAACCCAAGAAATTGACAAATGTATAGATAGAATAATAGATACATTTTACCTGCACGGACAATTTAATTAACTTATAATAGTAAATTGTGAATAATGACACGTGATGAACAAGCTCTGACATTTATAATATGAAAGTCACATCTAATGTGGTGGTTTTATTGTAAACAGTATACATTGACCGTTCAGCTGTTGAATCACTGTAATTTATTCATCTATTATCCTATTGAATCAGAGTATAGGACATGAGAGATTTCGTAATTTGTGGACAAGAATAGATACATTGCAATGTATATATAGGTAGCTAGCAGTGCAGATATCCTTTCACAAGTTACTAGTTAGATTTGGATCTCAGCAGGTCTGATATTTTTGAGGTAGGCAGCAGCAGATACATACACAAATACATACATACATATGATGATGAGATGAAGGTGCAGGAAAAAATTCTCTAGAAGAACAGCAAGTGTGCAGCATGCCCTGTCCCCCCCACCCTGCCACTGGATAGGCACTGTGTCAGGTTAGGTGGTCCCCACCCCACCCCCACCCCCACCCCCCACTTCATTGTTTCTTGGAATTGGGTTACCCAGTAGCAGCAGCCTAACTTAGTACAGTAACATGGGCTGTTCTCTTTTTTTTTTTGCTTTCTATCTTTTGCCCATCTACACAAGTACACTGCTAAATTAATTACACAGATCTCATTCACCTGTACAACACACCAAAACATCTCATCAGATCATATACTGCCTCATTCCCACCACTGGGTTGTGTACACCCCCATCCCACAAAACAAATTTCATTTGAAGTGAGTCCGCACGTGTTTAGTTCAACAGTTCAGTAGATAATATTTGAGAAAATAGACTAAAGTTTAAATTTTGGTGACGACAATGTGGGAATTATGTCCAGAGTATATAAATTTCTTATGCACACTTGACTAGAGATTACTCATTGCTCAACATATTTTGACAATGTTGAGAACCATGGTGTAACTTAGCCATGATTTGTAAAATCTTACCTACTTTTCCTTGTGTACTAAAAAATAAATGCCGGCCAACACTTCGATACAATCTCACATTTTTTAAAATAGTATTTAAAATAGAACCAAATTAAACCTCTACTCATGAATTATCTTTTATGGTACAGTTAATATCTTCGATTAAGATTTTAGGTGTTGCATGTATCATTTTTACTCTCTTAGACGACCATCTCCAATGAAGGCACCAAAACGCCATTTTGGTGTAAAAATTTGGTATAACCTTCCTCCAAAGAGGACACCAAATTTTACACAAAAATGGTGTAAAGGAATAGCGTTACACCAAATATGGTGTAAAACTACTCATTTACACCATTTTGGTGTAGAACTTTTTAAAAAATTTTTGTCAATTATTTTTTTTAAAAGATTATATTATTAAAATAAATTACAAAGATTTAAAGATCTCATTGAGAAGTTTAAAACAAGATCAGTATTGACTATAAAATAATTAAAAATTAAAATACATAAAAACATAAATTTAATTTTAAAATATTATTATTTATATCAAAATTATATTTTATATTAAAATAATTAAAGTAAAATTATAAGAATACCAATTATTTTAGTGTATGAAAAAAGGGCGGAACCAAGATCTAGGTGCAGCAAGGCGGAACCGGGAACCAAAAAATACTTTAAAAAAATATATAATTTGGTATAAATAGATTGGAGATGAAATAAAATTTAGTGTAGAATTTGAGATAAATATGTTGGAGATGAAAAAATTAGTGTAAGAATATATTGAGAATATTTATTTTAATGTAAAATTTGATACATTAAGGGCCTCACACCTCGGCCCGACAGACCATCTGGGATGATATAAATCATGGTAATTTAACTGAATTTAAACCACAGAAATTAGATATTTACTTACTGCGCACAAGGAACCCCCTCACTTTGAGAGGTTATTCTCATTACACACTATCGCTGATAAAACTCGATCCCTGTTCATTCTTTAAAACTTTTACCTCTATGAGTAAAATTTGATACATAGTTTGGTGTTATGGGAGGGCCGACAACAGTACCTACCCCCCATGGTTTCAAATATTTTAATGCTAATTATGACCAAAACTACTTGTACATACGTGTGAAAGGGGTAACTATGTTTTGTCATTCAATTATTTAATATGCATATGCATATTAAAGACCATCTACTGATCTACCACATAAGTATACCAAATGGAGGTATAGATGGTAGGACGGAAGTGGCAGAAACTACTACATGAGAGAGACTATCTAGATACCACTGTAGGCCGGAGTAGCTTGTAGTAAGCGGCAGCAAATTGCACTCAATATAATGATTGATTGTTTGGTTCATTCACAAGTACTGGTAGTCATTACTTAAAAGTGTTCAGTTAAATTTTAGTTTATTGTAATTAGTTTGATCAGTGTGAGTGGTCATGCACTTATAAAATTAATTTGAATATGATACAGGCTTTAAAGATGTCTCTTACAAATTGGTTGAGATGATACAGACTTTAAATGTGTCTCCTACAAATTGACTGAGATAAGGACAGCCAAGTATAAACCATTCTAAATTGTCTGACTTAACTGATTAAATTAAAAAAAAAAAAATCAATACAATTTTTTCTAGAGCCAAATTTGTAATTGTGAATTTTAGCGGACAAATACCTTAAATTAATATAGTATTCTTGTACTTACATCTCTCTCCTCTCTCTATATCTCTATATCGGCACTTGTCAAATTCCTTCAAATACTTCCCCACAGCTTCCACATCATAACGTACTATTCTCACTCCAACTGCCATCCCCCCATCTCTCTCTCTCTCTTTCTGGGATGTCTGTGAACCATCCCTCATCGGAGCTGCCGGCGGAGCCATTCTGGTGGAGTAAACAGCCGGAGTATATCGTCGAGTCGTCGAGGAAAGGCGTCCGGTTCGACCTGAACGACGACGAGGAGCCGGAGGAGCAGCTCACCGAGGAGAGGGATCAGGTAATGGTGCCGAAAGAGCACTTGTTCGAGAAGCCATTGACGCCCAGCGATGTCGGAAAACTCAACCGCCTCGTCATCCCCAAACAACACGCCGAGAAGTACTTCCCGTTGACCGGACAGGACTCCTCCGCCGCCGCAGCCGGCGCCGAGAAAGGTTTGCTGCTTAGCTTCGAGGATGAATCCGGCAAGCTCTGGCGGTTCAGGTAAACAGACACCGCCGCTGAAATTTTATATATATATATATATATATATATATATATATATATATATATATATATATATATATATATACTCTCTCTCTGTGTGTATTTTATTGTTGTAACTGAAAAGGCGAAAAATCCGGATAGGTATTCGTATTGGAACAGTAGCCAGAGCTACGTGCTGACGAAAGGGTGGAGCCGGTTCGTGAAGGAGAAGCGGCTGGACGCCGGCGACGTGGTGCTGTTCCAGCGCCACCGCCTGGACGGCGACCGCCTCTTTATAGGGTGGAGGCGGAGAAGCGCTGGCGCCGCCGCGGCTGCCGCGGGAGTTCACGAAGGAGGAGCGGTCGGTCAGCCGGGCACGGTGGTTGGCGGCGGATGGGGCCAAGTGTACTACCCTTATCCTCCGGCGGGTCTCCCATTCCAATCCCCCGACTGTCTTCATGCAGGTATATAATCTTCTTCCAAGCTGCATTAATTCATTTTGCAGATAAAACCCTATCTTTAATTTCTTTATATTTTTGTTTTTTTTGTGAATTTAATTTGCACACATGCAGACAAAGATTAACTACGTATACATTTACAAATCCATACATACACGTATATCTGTAACGTGTTTATATATATATATATATATATATATATATATATATATATATATATATATATATATATATGTGTGTGTGTGTGTGTATACACACACTGTCACGTTGGAGTGCGTGAACTATACTTTTCAATCCCCATATCTTTATGTGAAAAGTAATAATTCCATTCACACTTGTTTTGTCTCCTTCTTACCTTTGAGTTTAATTATTTTTTAAACTCAATAAAATAGCATTTTTGTATTTTTTGTATCACTTTTGATGTGTGATTATATTTCGATAACTGATTTTTTTTTTAAATTTATTATTATTGAATTAGGAGGTTCAATGGGGCAAAGCCAGACACCATCCAGTGGGAGTTCGAGGACACTAAGGTTGTTTGGGGTGAACATGGAGTGCCAACCGGAGGTGGAAGAGGCTGAACCGGCAACACCAGACGGTTCGACCACATCGAGCCAGGGTCAGACCGGCCATCACTATTTATACCAATATTATTCCAACCCTCTTGCCTCCTACAACAACCATTACACTCACATGGTATGCCCATATTTTATTAATTAGCTTCAATAATTATTTAAATATTTTTCTCCATTATATATATATATATCGAACCTAATAGTATTATATACAACTCCGATCCATATATACTATTTTTTGTCGTAACCGGTACAAGTACTAATATTATAGTATTTGATACAATCAAACATAACTACATGGTTTATCGTACAATCGATACCATTGAATTTATTTATTATTATATTTATATATTTATATATAGTAGGCCTATATTAAACAATCAAATACCCACTTTGATTATATATTGTTTCCTTCCTTGGGGCAGGTAGATACATACACACAATACAGCTACACACACAAAATATTGGTTTTTTATTTGCTAAAAGAAAATCAAAATACGTATAATAAAATAATATAGCTGGTCACAAGATTATATGATCGATTTTTATAGGGGTGTAACATGTTAAAACATTTTGAGTCGAACTTTTTCATGTGTAAGAATTAAACTTTGTAGCTATGACTCGAGTCAATTCTGAATCAATATAATATTTAATGAGACATAAGTGGCAGCTTTGCAATACTTGTAGTGCACCCAAAAAGAAAAAAAAAAAAAAAAAGCTTTGCAATACTTTTATATTGTCAAAAAGAATCCATACCAAACCAAACTCTGTCAAGACTAAAAGGCATTTTGCAATGCATTATTTTAGGGTTCAAGAAGTGACAATTCATTGCTTTTTAGATTGATTGGATCTTTCATGCTAATATCATTAATTCCTTATTATTTTAGGTCATCATAATCTATACCGTTTGACTTTTATTTTTATCTACTATTAATCTCTCGATTTTGAATTTCTCATCATTGTTAATCATTCCGGCCAAATGCCATCTGAAATCTTACATTAGTCACAAAATTCAATGAAAGTATTACAAATGAACTAATAATGGAAAAAGTAAACCTTAAAAAAGTCGAAGTACTTGGTGGTGGTAACTGGTAATAATATGTACATTGTATCTGGCATGAATAGTACACTTATTTCAATCAAGATGACCAATCCTTTCCAAGAACCATGAATGCAAGGTAAACCCAGAAAAAGAGATAACAAAAGCTATCTTTATCAGCAATTAACCTGTATGGTCCAGAGGTACTATATAATATGGTCCTGCATCTCTGTACTAATGTATTATTGCATTTTTCCATGTTTTTTTTTGGTTTTGAAACATTATTGTTTATTGGGATTTGATTATATTTGAGTGGACAACTTAATCATGATGTTGCTAACAATTATGCACTGTATGTATGGCTGCAGCAGGATTTAAAAAATTTCTCAAGAGATGTCAATCAGATGAGATATCAGCAGGGATAAGATCTGTGGATGTGACATTCTGGACTGACTAGTATGGACCACAGGGGAAAGTAAAAAAGAAAAAAAAAAAAGGATTAATTTTTATATAAAAAAAAATACAGAAAAGAAGGGGGAAAATCCAAGATTTTCTGGCAAGTTGTCTTTCTATATAAAGGCTGGTGTATTGTATATCAAGAAGCTGTCAATCAGGCCCTCTCCAAGTCCAGGGGGAATGGAAGAGAACCCACATCAGAAAATGGGAGATGAAAATGAAAGCTAGGTTTTTTTTGGGGGGGTAGGCCTGGAGGGGTCCACAAGGTTATAGGATGATGTCAGCAGGGGCCAAGTGGAAGAACATGGCTCATGGCAATCAAGAATTCCACTGTTTTCTATATACATGAAACAAGAAAAAAGTTTTGTTGTCTACTGTTGAGATTCTGGCTGGAGATTTTTAATGGGGGGCTTATTAGTGAGTGGAAGAACAGATACAGGAGGTGGAGGTCACTGTAGTTTTACTAGCATCAAAACTCTGAACCAACTAACTGTTTTTAACTGCCTTTTTATTGTTATGGTTATGCTACTAATCAAATGGCACAAGCTTTCTGCTGTTCTTTTGTTCAAGCCTCTGTACATTTGTTACTGTTTTCATGTTAATGTTGACACAGATAACAGCAACAGTGTCTGGTAAAAAACATCATGGAAATTGCTGGATTTCATCAGTAGTTTAACATGTGGTTACATCAAAAAAACAGTAATCTGAACAAAATGTATATTGTGACATAAACATGGGAATGTTCATTGTATCCAACAAAAGGCCTTTCAATTCTATTCACAGATTCTACACAAGTTGCTGAGTGGATCTGCAGGATTCACACATGAACTGGTTGAATAAAGCAAGAAAAAGATGGAGAGAGAGGCAAGGAAGTTTCACCTGCTCAACAGTCTTACCCACTTCACTCACATTCGTGTCGCCAAATATTGGTCCTTCTATATTCGGAAGGGTCAGCGGATGTGTATTCTCGTTTTTCTGAAGGCCACACCGGTCACAGGATTCACGGGCCTCCTACAGTTAGGGTCTGCTCAGGACACCTCGTGGTCTGACCAAAAAAACAAAAACTAATGCACCATAGCACGTCTTCAAACATGAATCGGGTAGGCAACATATGACCCACCCACCAACAATTACCTAAAAATAGAACCTAACAAATGAACCATAATGGACCCGAGACTATGTGAACGAGAACCAAAGGTTAATGGAGAATGACTGCTACTTCTCGATTCTCATGTTTAAAACCTTTATGACGATAGTCTGTAGCTCAGAGACAATGACCTTCATTACAGACTATAGGAGCTAATATTCTATTTTGCTTTCAAGTCATCTGCAGTCACCACATGAAGATGAAAGCACCAAAAGGAAGGAATTATTTGGTGAAAGAAAGTTTTATCTTACATTCCACCTTCGACCCCACTGGCTTGCTTTTCAATCTGGTCCAGACACAAACCTAACAACTTGTTCCATCTCGAGTTTGACCTTTAAACCATTTGAAAGAGAAAAGTCGAGTGAAGAGGAATCTCAACTTAAATCAAACTCTTCCTTAAAAAAACTTCATATTCTTCTCTTTTAGACGTAAGGAGATCCTTACTATTTCCAGTTTAAAGCTCAATGGGTGAACCTCATGAAACTAGAATATATGAAGTTTAAAAACACTCATTTTTAAGTAAAATTCTCCACATATCAGTGCTACATGAAGGTATTTCAAATCTCAAATTACCAATGCAACTAAGTACCACTTTCAAATACCCAAGGAAAAACTAAAAACCACATAAAGTGTTGGCATCTTATATCCTAGAAAATAAAAAAACAAAACTTTGCATAAAGTTAGCCAGCAAAGCCCACTGTTATTAGCTTTCACTTTTAAAAGAAAAAAGGTCGAGACAATTGGAATGGAGTTCCAGTGTTTGGACAAGGATTTAATCCAGACAAGAAAAATGAAGGTGATCACACTCATTAGATTTCTCAGCAAAAGGAAAAAGCAGAGCTTAGGCATGGGAGTATTGGAATAGTCGGGAATCGAATAAGAGAGTTCTTGTTGGAATTGGCAGGAAAATAACAAGGATAATTTGAATTTTGAAACTAGTAAACAATTGAATGTTTTAAAAGGACCATATTGAGAAAATGGTTTTCTTGTTCCAGCAGTTTTGACAGCTCTCTATGGTTTTGCAGAACAAAAAAAGGCAGTTTTCAAACCTCAGATGTTTGTGAGAAATAGGCAAGAATAGAAACTAACAACAAAGTTACAGTACATGTAAATGCCAACACCACAATATTCAAAAGAGTGTATAAATTTTGCAAGATTAAGCAAGAAACCAACATAACACAATAAAAAAACTATGTAAATGCCATTATAAGTACTAGAATCAAACTTTTGATCAATTCAAAGATGAAAAAAAATTGAAAACTTTCTGGAAAACTACATTCAGCTTCACTCTGATCCTTGGGCTACCAAAACACTCTCTCTGTCAGAACAAGAAATGGGTACTCAAAAAATAGAATGTAGGATCAGAAATAAGGCAGAATTTCTTGTTACATTAACTAACTCCTTCTTCTGTACAAGATTAAAAAAAGGAAGCTTTTTTCATAGCTGAAAATCATGAAATTCATCAAGCTGGTTTCAGACAAGCAATTTTAGGAGTATATATATACATACGTACGTACACAGAAGCACAAAACGTACGATATGGAAGGCAATTAGGTGAAGATAAGGGCCGAATAATTCTCCGGTGGCCGGAGACGTCGGGAAACTGATGAGAGACCTCGCGCCGGCGCAGCACGGCAGCAGACGCATTGCTTTTGGTCCAGTGATTCATGGGTCGAGAATTTGGGCTTTTCAGTTGGGCCCAATTTTGAGAGTAAATTTCGCTTTCATCCTTAAAGTTTAAGTTACATTTCTATTTGATCATAAATGTTTTAACATTTTTAATTAAGAGTTCAAATCTTACTCCCTAATTTTATTCTATTATGTGATGAATATTGATAAACTATTTTTTATGTGGGTCTTAATACAAGTGTCTACGTCAAGATTTTATGTGTGAGAATATAAAATAGGAGTACACATAGTATTTCCTTTAATTAAATACTTTTTTTTTTTTGGAATGAAGGGGGCTGGGTGAACCCAGCGAGCCTAAGCGAAGGTGTCAGCAGTGAAGAGCACCATGTCCCTCCTTAGCAGCTCCGCAATGCACTCAGGCAACATATTAATCTCAATCCAGTCACAATGCTTCCTCAGCGCCATTTTGGCTAGCTCGTCTGCAACTGCATTGTTCCCTCTAGGAGTGTGATCGATGACGACAATCCAATCTTTCTTGAGCCAATCTTTGCACCATCTTACCAAATCCCCACAGTGACCTAGGGGTTCCGTCTCTCCAGTAAGCCAACGCACCGCTTATAGGGAGTCCGTGACCATCTTGAATCTCCTTTGACCAATCTCCCAAGCCCATTTCAGACCGAGGTAGATCGCCCAAAGTTCCCCTTCTGTAGCGTTGCTTACTTTCATCATGCAGCTGAACCCTCTCATCCAGTCGCCCCTCTGGTTCCGCAAGACTCCACCGCAGCCTGCCGGCAGGTTTTCCGAGACAAAGGAAGCATCCGTGTGCAGGGTTATACACCCGTGTGTACTCCAGGTGGTATCACTGTCTTTCGACGACGCTGTGGATGTACACTTGTGGCGTTCAAAGGCTTTTCGTATCTCCGTCAGCTGGCTCCGTATCCAAGCTACTTTGTTATTCATGTCCTTTTGTTCGTCCCTGAACACTGCGTTGCATCTCCATTTCCATAACCACCAAGCTATTAGTGAGAAGAGTATGTTTTAACATTTTTAATTAAATACTTTGATTTATGGAAAAAATACATAGTTACTATCTAAACATGTATTTTAGTGAAGCTCGTCTTGTAACTCTAAATAGAAAATAATCACAACAAGGAGATAGATCAGATTAGGATGTCTTGTAGAATGCCTCAAAACTGAGAAGATTAGTAAGAGAGGTAAAAATACAGACCGCACATGAGTAGCAAATTGCATTAGAAAGATCGTGTATGACGGATTCGCCGGAGATAATATTAGTAAAGAATTGAATTTGTGACGTTTTGCACATGAACCATGCTCTACACACTCGATCACTCACTTTGCGACACTTTTTAAAAGAATTCTATAAAGAGAAGTTGATACTTTTTTTTGTTTATTTCATAAATAATGATGAAGAATATATATCTTTTATCTCATTCCTTGTGGGTATATAGCACTAATTCTCTCATCTAAGAGCTATAGGCTATTAAGTTATCTTAATTTATCTCGACAGAATTTTGTTGAGTCAAAGTGTGAAGCTAAGCTTGAAAAAAGAGACTTCAAAGGTGAATATTTTTTTATCTCAATAAAGAAAAAGATAAGACGGAAAAAGAAATTCAGTCTATCATAGTAATAAATTAGTAATTACCAAAACATTAACAAGGTAATTTTCTTAACCCACCACCCAATTTGTCTTTCTCCTCCACCACTAGTTGCTACTTTCCATATACAATAATCACAAGAATTCTTCAAACCAGAATAAATGCCTATTATTTTTCCGTCTTCTACGTAATGGATCTTCACCCTTCTTCTCAAAAACACCCAAAGTTTCTCCTTTTCAACTTTCCAGTCTTTTCAACAAAGAAACAAATCTCCCATGCACTCTTCTTCTTCTCCCTTCTCCTCGCTTCCCTTATTTTCTACCGTCTCATTGCCCCAATTAAACCGCAAACTCTTCTGGGAATCAACTTGTTTTCGCCGCTGAGTCAAACCTCTGCCCCTCAAGCTGCTTGTGATTACTCTTATGGGGAATGGGTTTGGGACGAAGGTTATCCCGGTGAAAAGTATACCGAGAACTGCCCGTTCTTGGACCCAGGTTTCCGGTGCCACCGCAGCGGCCGCCGGGACTTGGAGTATCAGAAATGGCGGTGGAAACCGCATGCCTGTCATCTTCCAAGGTATATATATATATATATATATATATATATATATATATATATTCCTTTCTCATATTAATGCATGTTACCTTATTAACTCATCCATCAAAACAATCTCGAGATTTGAGTGTAATCTTTTTTATATGATAATAATAGTGCATGTTGTGTTTGATCCATTTCCAATATGGGTACTGCTCATTTCCACTTTAACCTTCTTTTTACCTTTGATTTTCTTGCAAACTCTATCTACTATCAATATTTTTGGTTTATAATTTCTTTGTAAAAAATTTTGAGTTGGGGTTGAACTCCCCGTCAAAGTATACAATTGAATGGCGGATCTCAACTCTAAGTAGAGTTGATTTACCTTTTCATGGATCTTCTCATGTGTTTAAGAGCTAGTTCATGATTAGTGCATTCATGAATTTGGATTCAAGTCTTTTGAGTTTATGTGTTTAAGGAGGAGATCAGGATTAGATCAGTAAAACTAAGAATCATGAACTTGAATAAGAGGTGTATTACTGTGACAATATAATATATGGAGTAATTAATTTTTTATTTTTTTTTCGTGAGTGCATAGGCTTTCATGTATTAGAAAGAATGATGAGGTGGGCAAAAGTTGTGGCTCTATCATTCTATATATTACCACAACTCTAACCATCATGATCTTCCCTGTACATTATGATTAAAGGGATGCAAAAGATGGTTTGCTATTATTCTTGACAGCTATATATAGGAATGGCATAACTCAATGAAATCTTTACAAGGCTGTGCTGTCATGCTTAATTCCAACATAGGGATTTTGGGAAGTAATTAAGTGAATTGATAATATTAATACAAGTAAAAGGCAAACTCTAATAATGAGTATACCCTACGTATTCAGACCAGTCTAGATTGTCCTAGTTCACCAGCTCAAACTAAGAATCAAGAAGGCCGACTTCTAATTATGACCTGTCTCAAATCAAGAATGAAGAAGACTTGACAAATTAAACTAGCTTAAGTTGTGCCTAACCCATCGGCTGAAACCAAGAACCAAGAAGGCCGGCCAGTTAAATCAGCTCAGCCTAGGTTACCCTTAACACACCGACTCAAACCGAACCAACATGGCCAAATAGCTCAAACCAAGAACCAAAAATGTCAACTTGACAAGATTGCCCCCATGCATGCTTCTTATTTGGTGCTAACAATAATGTCTGTCGTCGCAGGTTCAATGCCAGTGATCTTCTCCACCGGAGTCGAAACGGTCGGATAGTATTTGCCGGCGACTCCATTCTAAGAAACCAATGGGAGTCTTTGCTGTGCATGCTGGCGCAAGGAGTTGCGAACCAGTCAAGCATACACGAGCAATTTGGAAAGCCCATAACCAAACACAAAGGCTATCTGTCAATGAGGTTTGAAGAATTCAACCTCACCGTTGAATATTACAGGGTCCCTTTCTTGGTGCCCGTCTGCCGGCCTCCGGCAAATGCGTCCAAGGAAGTGAAGGGCGTGCTTAGACTCGACAGGCTACATTGGTTCTTCCGAAAGTTGGTCGGCGCAGATGTTCTCGTCTTCAGTGGAGGGCATTGGTGGAATGAAGACAAGACGCATAAGATGTAAGATAATACATACATACTAGGTGACTCATGATAAAATGAGTCCACCTCTTCTCATGAATCCGTGTGGGCAGTTTTGATCCATTAAAAGGTAGAGATCAATGGTCAGATTTGGTTCATTATCAATTGTGCAATTGCAGTTGCCATTACACAGTTGATAATTGACCAGATCTGACCATTGATCTCTAGCTTTTAATGAATCAGATATGTCCACATGGACTCATGGGAAGGGGTGAACTCAGTTGAACAATGGCTCATACTAGGTCGAAAGTGAAGATTAAACATGAAACCCTATTTGGTATATGGTTGTTAGCTGATTGTGTTAATTAGAGAGTATAACTAGTTGATAACATTAGTTGTTGTAGAAAAGTATTTGGTAAATTAGCTGTTAGCTGTTTGGTATAATTTCTTTTCTAAAAAAGCTAATTGAAAAAGTTACTTGGAATAACTTTTTGAATTTTAGCATTTTGGAGTTGCAAAAAACTAATTAACCAAAAACTTATATTGATATTTTAACCAAATCAAACAATTAATTGTGATCAAAAAAGTCAAAACTGGCCTATAGGCCAATTTTTTACCAAATAGGGCCGAAATGTTCTATATAAACTCTGAGGTTTATGCAACTAGACTAAGAAAGTGAAACAAAAACTTGGATAAGATTAAGGTGAGATTCTGAGAATAAGAATAAGAAATCCAGTTCATATTTAAGTGTTTCTCTTGTCACAGGGGCATATATTTCCAGGAAGGCAAGGCTGTAAACATGAGTATGAATATAACAGAGGCTTTCAGTAGATCTTTGAACACCTGGGCTTTATGGGTAACACGAAACTTGTCGTCCGAGACTCATATCATCTTCCGCAGCTATTCCCCAGTACATTACAGGCAAGATTATATATGCTGCAAATAAGATGCAACAATGTCAGTATAAGATTATGATAGTTATGTTTTCGACATAAACTTGCAGGAATGGAACGTGGAACTCGGGTGGTAATTGTCATACAAGTACGGCGCCTGAAAGAGATCAGGCTGGACTGGGGCGTGACCCAATCAACAATGTGTATATTTCGAAGATTGTCAAGGAAATGGCGATGATGGGGAGAAATGTTACTTTCCAAAATATTACGTATCTGAGTGAGTTTAGGAGAGATGGCCACCCTTCGACCCACCGTGAACCGGGCACCCCAGTTGAGGCACCGCAGGATTGCAGCCATTGGTGCCTACCTGGGGTGCCAGATACTTGGAATGAACTTCTTTATAATGATCTATTGTTGAAGGGATTTAGAGGCGAGTCGAAACAAATGTAGCGATTACCTTGTAGTAAACCGGAGAATAGAAGACTATTCCTCAGCCGTTTCTTTGGGGTTAACCTCAGCTTCCATTTCTTTCATTTTCTTGAGCTGCCGAAGGAGGGCTAGCCTTTCTGGCCCGTATGTTGAGGGAATCTGCCATGGAAGAGAAAAACAAAGATTAAGTTTTCGTCAAGAATTCAAACACGAGATTCAGGTCTGGAGACACGTACGAGTGCGGGTACGTATCTTTGAATTGCAGCCAACATGGCAGCGTGCCCAACAGCTGTAACCTGCAAAGAGAGCTTAGTGAGATATGCCATATAGCAACCTGCACCCAGTCATTGCAGATATTTATGGTTTCTTTACTGTTTTCTATTTAACAGAAACAGCCTAAACATCCCCAAATTACACTAAATTAGAAAGGTTTTCTCTTGTTTGTTTGTTCAATTGTTTTATGGATTAATGTACTTACAGGAAGAAGCATAAGAAACCCAATTGGAATGACAGATGCTAAATCAGTTAAAGTTCTTTTGAGTGCTTGTTTTTCTTTTTCCGTCAATTCATCCCTTATTACAGTCCTCCGAAGCAGCTCTGTAGCTGCGGCAACATCAATGGCAAGAAGCTGAGTGCCCTGCCAAACATCCTGGTCATGAAAATCCTAGTCAGACACTGAGAGTATATAAGCATAATCCATAATCATAACTTTTTCCGAACAGGGCCATTTTTCCAACAAATAAGTATTCCATAACTGAAGGGATTGAAATCCTACCGTGGTGGTCTCTTTTAGCTTGTCCAATGATTTCTCAATAATGTTTTCTTTCTTCTTTTCACGAACCATTTGAGCACTTTCTGCCGCCATCTGAAATTTCTCCTAAATGCATAAGAACAACCAGATCAATACAAAAAGAACCCTATAGATCAATTGTTACCAGGAAAGGAAACCTATAAGAATAAGATACCTCGTTTGCCAGGCCAATTACAAGTTAGCCATTCCAACTCTTTCTTTCCACTTTTTTTAATTAGAATATTCCCAAAATTTGTCACTTTGAACAAACAACGAAATGTGATAGACCATTTTTGTTTTTTTTCTAGATTTACTCCCCCTTACAGAGATTCAGACCATGCTCCGAAGACTAGATTATCCCTACGAATACAACACTTGGGAGTAATTTTGAATCAAAATGAAGAGAAATGAGTGATATGGGGAGAACTAAGTCAAACGTGTTTCAAAATTTGCATTGTTTATACAACTCAATGACACTTGTAATGCAGGGCATAGGAGAATTATCAAAGTGACTCTCTTCTTTCAGATGCGTTGATGTTACAATAATAGAATTAATATGGGCATTCCTTGCCAGACATTATTGTAGACAGGTAAAGTAATAATAAAACATAGAAAATACCTCTTCACATTCATTGGGATCGGCACTTTTTTTAACACGTCTCTCAAGTTCCACTAGCTCACTTCGAAGAATTTCAAAACGTTGAATTTCATCTGGTTTTGAGACAGGTGTTCCGGCATTTTCTGCTGCCTGTTTAATGCTTTCATCATCCTGCACACAAAGACTTACCCTGAAGAAATTAGAAAATAGTAGAAAAAACGCAAATCAGTAGTTAGATATGCAACACCAAGGAACCATAACAATGAACTTCAATGTTCATCTTACAATGCCGTTTTACTATTATATGCCACACAAATACACAATCATCAACAGCTTGTGAAAGTAATTCCCATTCTTCACATCCTTCCTATCAACCTAGTATTTTTTTTAAGCTTAAAATTTCATATAACAATTTGCATCAACAGTCTAATAGATCAGATCGGAAAAGACTGGATTTAAGTCATGTTTGGGAGCAATTTAGAATTTAGTTCTTGACAGAAATTTGCTTTTCTTGGCAATTGACAGAAATGCATTTCAACATGTTAGCAAATGAACATAAATATGACAGACTAGAGACCAAAGTGTAAAGCATACATTTCCTGTGACAGTTGATGATGGATCATCAGAGGCTTTGTTTGGTTCACGTACCAAGAAGCTCCACAATCCACGTGCCCTAGAAAAAAATATTTCATAGCAAATAGAGAGTATTGAACATTAATATGAAGCCATGAGGTACTGTTTGTGGTTAGGATTCTAAAATAAGGATAAAAAATTTCAATTACCTGGTGCTTCTATTATTAGTATTCATGCTGTCCTCGTCTCCAGAATATTGCCTTGACTCATTCATTAACGGTGAAGAACAAGCCGCAGCATCCCCCTAGTCATTCATTGCAAAGAATCTTATGTTATTCTTTCTTCCTGTATGTTATCCTTTATGCCAGTTTTGAGGATTTGAGAGAAGAAAAATAATTCCAAGACTTCAGAAGCAAGGCAAATATTTCTTCAATGATGTTCAGAAAGACACCTGCTCAAAAGAAGCTGCCTTTGCTTGGAAAGATGCCTCAAGAAATTCAGCCTCTTTCTTAAGTTTCCGTATCCTTTCCAGGTCAGAACAAGCAGCTTTTAAATGCGCCTTTCCAGTACCGGGGCTTGATACATGCAACTCCTGAAGCAATCCCTCTAGCCTGATTAGAGCTTCTTCAACGCTCTCCATTGCCTAAAACAAAATTCAAACATACAGCTTCATAAGAATCCACTATGGACTATTGGGAAGAAAAAAAAAAGGGCCATATACTAGATTTACGAGGAAAGCAATACCTTGTCAAAGGAATCTGGTTCTTTCTCAGTCTGTAAATAAGCTCCAGTATGACTCCTGTGCACATTTGTTAGCTTTTGAACATTGAATCGTAAATGATGTATGAACTAGGTGTCTAGGTGTGTGATGATTTTCTCTCAAGTTATAGCCTAGTTCTCCTGTGTCCAATAACACAGATGCATAAATGGAGAATATTATTTTTACATTTAACTTACTTCTCTATCCCCAGCTCTTCCACACACTTCTGGAGTATGTCATGACTGAAAAGTTCAACACGTTGGAAACTATTATTAATATTTTATACGTATCCGACTAATTTTTTGTAATATTATGAAGTTCCATTACGCTGTTGAAACAAATCTAGCTGCCTTGACATTGGAAGGGTTCACCAGCCATCTGCTGTATTTGATGAAACTCTGGATCCAGTAAGAGCAGACATCCAACACTAAGAGGACAGCCTCAGCGTTTGGGGGAACTTCTTCATTACTTTTGTGCTCGGACTTATACTTGGTATTACTGCTAAATCCAGGATAAAAAGGAAGCCAGTCGAGCTCTTCACACACAACCTATCATATTAAAGAATTTAGTTTTGTCTGCCATCAACGCACTTCATAGTAATACTATAATCTTTAACATGCTAACCTCTACATACAGTTGATAAGAACTTATTGAAGAAAGCTGAGGATAATAGAGCACACTGCCTCCAATTAGGTACCTGTTATGGAGATTATGATGAAATCAAATGAACTAGAGAAGTATACCATCCTATGAGTCAAGATACAACACAGCAAATATTTCACCTGACAAGCCCTTCAATGGGCTCAAGTCCTTCAATAGGCTTGTCCATAGCACCAAACCCATTTGCAGAAAGAAACGATTGTGTAGTTCTCCCCAAGGCAATAAAGAACCCAAATATAGCCAAGTCCTTCTCAAGTATCTGGTACAAAAGTAGCAATCAATATTGCAAATGGAAAGTTAAAAGTGAATTCATAATCTGGAAGAGAAGCAGACGATCATTATGATATGTGCATGCAATTATAGATGCCTAAGAAGCATGATTCCAGATGACTTTATGTGCTCTGTACAAATCTAACTCGAAACCAAAGAATTTCTGTCAAACTCCAGCAGCCATTCATTTATCTTCTTCATATGAACTTAATATCTAAAACCCACACTATTTCTGTCCTCTGGATTACACCCACCCCTTCCACTGCAGGGGAACTTCCATTAAAATAAAGACCAGCCACATTTTCATGGTTTCCATCTGCCTTTTATCTTTGGACCAGCACTCACCTTTGCTTGTCAATAAAATTTCAGTGGAAGACATTGGAAATCTGCCACTATCAGTCCGGTTGCACAGACCCATTGTCATGAATGCTTAACCAGATTTAAGTTACACTAAAAGTGACTAAACTACAAACTTTTTCATTAAAAAACACAATTTTCAATATCCAGGCAATATTTAATAAAACTGAAAGTTCAAATTTTGATAGCCACCTCTTATATAAATGTACTGATGCATATAAGGAAAAGCTCCAGGCCTAACCTCAATACTCTCAGATGTTGTGAACCTGGACCATATTCTCTCCCGATCTATAGCTCTTTGTAGCTGCTTCTGGACAAGCTCCACCCAAAACATAGCCTCTTCAGTGCCTTGTTCATTTCTTGCTCTGCATGCTGCAGCCCGAGGGCCAAAGTGGACAAGAAATTCTCTATGCAAACCAATAGTCTTTAATGAATTATAAGCTTGTTGAAGAGGAATATTTTCAATCAGCATATCCATCAATCTTCCCAAGGTATCAGGAATAATTGAGAAGAATTGTGGACAAGAAACTTTTGCTGGACCAAGTTTCGTAATTGCTTCAATGCAACTAAGTGCAAGCATGAGAAGTTGCACATGATATGTATTGCCAGGAGAAGACGACCCTTTTCTGCTCCAGGGAGAGTAAAATCAGCATTTCAAAACAGGAAACGGGAACTACAAAAATTGTTATTTAATATGCACAAGCTGCACACATATGTAGTCATGTGTGTAAATGTGTATATCGAAACACACACAAATTATAACATTATATTATGTATATAGAATGACGTACACTGCAGTAGCGGCAATAAAGCATTTGTCCTTCTGAAAGTAATTAACAAATGTGTTCACCACTGCTGGGATTTGCTCAGACCAAAACCACTCAAAAACTTCAGGTTGGTTTGTTAATAATTTGTTATTAATCACACTCTCCAGTGGAGCAGACTGCTTTGATAAACTGCAAGAATGTAGTAGTAAATTTTAATATTCCATCGTGAATTTCAGATGAATAGCAAGAAAGGAACAGCAAATACTTGATAAAAAATAATAAAATAATCCCAACATTATTAAATTATCAACTATCAGAAACTTAATATATATTTATCATTTAACGATAAACCTAATACTAACATAAAAATCAACCTCAGTTTCTTATACTTTTTTTTTTTTTTGAAAGCCCACACAACGAAGAAATATATTAATCAAAAAGGTGTTGAATACACATAGGAGTGGACTCCCAAAATAATAATCAAGCTCAGTTTCTTATACTTAAATACTTAAATGATAAAAATAAATAAATAAAAGTAATTAATCACTAAAAATTGACTAAATTATCACACCACCCTCTACCCAACTTGACCCACGTGATCAAAATTTGAATCAAACAAGGGATTGAGCAGAATTGTCGGTCCAATCCTATGAATCAAACAAACTCAGAAATACACTTCATATACTGCATGTGCCTTCGTCACAAACATGCAAGACTCAATAGAACGATTTTTAAGCATACCTACACACAAATAAAGATTATAACTCTGCTGAGGGGAGTCATAATGGTAAGTAAAAATTATCTTCATTGGGGGAAGAATGACCATATATGTGCACTTCCCCCTATACTGATAATGATGTATTTGGTAACTATGGTACATAATGACCTTCGTTGGATGAAAGTATTGATATCTCTGCCTCTTCCATCTCCTCGAGATGAAACCTTATTTGCTGCTTGAAGTAGAGAATATACAGATGCCTGAAGAATTTTTTAATCATTAGCCAAGCTAGAAAATAGACATCAAAGTACAGTAGGAATAAATTAAAAAGTATCTATATATATATCTATATATATATATATATATATATATATATATATATATATATATTATACTTTGTAACATTCATAAAATGACTGTCTATACAGTTAAGATAGTAGAACTTTTGCACTTTGCACTCTTAATTTTCACGTAGCTGCATTATCAAGTAGTGAGTTTAATATGCTAGATGGATATGAGTTTCAACTGTTAAGGACCTCTTTTGAGTGAAATTAGTCATAATGCAAACTAAATGAAGGTTGCATACAACAATTTCTGAACCCCCTAAGAATTGATCTTTTCACTTAAGCAACAGCTTTTCCCCAACAAAAATGCATGTTAGAGTAAAGAAAACATCAACTGACCGAAGACCATAATTATAAAACATTTGTGAAGATGGTAAAACTGAGATTTTTGTTATATAGACTGGATATTATTCAATAGATATTAAACCTATGTCTGTCTTCACCAAAAACAACAAATGCATTTGTTGTAATCAATTTAAGTGACTGTGGATCGGAAAGAAATAGAGCACATGACTTAAATGTGGCATGTCACCTGTAGAAAAGAACAATTACTAGTATGAAGCTTCATAGATTACTGATTTTCCAATGACATCAATATGCATTCCAATGACAATAACAACATTATTATATCACAGCAAAGAAGGGGACCAAATAGAAATCTTGTCAAGACAACAATAACCTACCTGATACGATAACACCTTCACCCAAGCAGTTTTATCTACACCCAGCCAGGCAGTAGAGAACCATGGCATTCCTGATAATGAAACCTGTTGTCTAATTCCAAGCTCAAATACCCTTGCAGCATCATGCAGTGCTTGGACAAGTCCATAACTATTGTCTTCACTTTCCAGAGAGAGAGCAAGTTTTGCTCTCATTTCTTCAATATCACCACTGGTACTCGGTTTGGGACTCTCATTGACTGTCACCCCATCATCGGCAGAAGCAGAAGGCAAAAGGTGGTCCATCTTTCTTGATTTGCAATTTTTTTTGCCATGTCTCCCAAAATCGGAAAATCTGTGGCTACAATCAAATTTTCCCACCTCTAACGGTGAAAGCTTGATACGGTTTCTCTTCCTTGTATAGCATCGACTAAATATGAGGTGATCCAAAACTACCACTCTTCTATTTAAATAATAGTTTCTAACTGGAGCATTGACAGAACTGCAATTAAGTGTCAAAATTTCTATCAGTAAACCAGTACATCTGATGATCTGATTTAAAAATATTGTAATCCAGCTGCCATTATAAGTATAACTCCAGGGATATCTTTCAAAACAATTCTTATCATACTACAGAGAATTTTATCAAATAAGTAATCTATGCAATAGTGGTAACTGTTACTAATTTACTATCCATCTCACTACTGTTGGAACAATTAAGCCAACCATGGATAGTCATACTTCTTCAATGGTATTAAAGATTTCATATTGAATAATATTGTCAGTTCTTGACACGGAGCAAACAACTTGGGTATTCATAAGCCAACCATTTTTCATGCAATTTAATGCAAGTTTCATTTCAAGAACTAGTCAGATTAAAGTATACATAATATCCGTAACTAAAATAGGGAAACTACTCTATTAACCCTATGCAGATAGAAGGTCTTCTCTACCATGACCACAGAACAAAGTCTAACAAAAATTTCAATGCACCACTGTTTCCAGCCCTAATGATCACTAATGTCGTCAAAGGGTGAACCACTCCAATTGGTTCGAATTGCTTTTAAAAACATAAATACAACAAGGCATGTCAATTAACCCTTTCTAAACAATTACTCCAGTTAGTCTCCAATGGCTCCCTCCTAATTCCATTTCTGAAGTTAAACTAAATGCCAAAAACCAGAGTCTGTAAGCCATATCACTGCCGGCCTACCTAAAGCAGCAAAACTAATTCAAGAAATTATCAGGGTCAGACGCAAATCGCATCAACCTTTGACCTTTATACTAAATTATAAGCAAGCAAAACTTTAATGAACTCGTTCGACCAGCAAATAATCACCAAATGCTGCTCTTAAGCTACAATTCGAACGCATAGAAGCTCAACCGAATAAATAAAGATGCGAAATAACTGAATTCTGGAAAAAAAAAAATTAAAATGAAACGATAAAATAACTGATATGACCTGGAGGAAGCGAGATTCTGATGGTGCAGCTTGAGTATCATCGAGAGAGAATAACCGATTAAGCAACTCCGGTAGCGGTTTGGGAAGTGAAAAATAATTTGTTTTTTCTTTATTTTTTTTTTTTTCCTTACGGGGAAATGGTGGGAAAAATTGGTTCTGTGGTTTGGTTTTGGCGTAGTTGAGAAGTGGTATGTGTGCCGAAGGAGATGCTGACGTGGCGAGCGAGGGTATATCCGTAGACGTGGGGGATCGACTCTCACAGAAGTATTAACTCAAAGCCAAGACCAAATTCGTGATTGTGGTTCGACCTTTGAGTTACGAGGGAAACCTGATTGTCCTCTTGTGATTTTAATCGGTAAAGAATTATAAAGAAATAAATCAGTTTAGATTATTTTTGTTGAAAGTTAAATTTATAATTTTATAAAAGTTTCCAGGTTGATTTTGGTTCTTGTAGATGGAAAGTTGAGAACCGCACACTCATACAACTGTTCGAGAGTTGGTGGAGTGAGATTAGCGATGCGATATCAGACACATGTATAAGAGAGTGACTTTATAAATTGGACAACAACACATGTATATGGAGGATATCTCGAGCTGAGTATTTTAAACACTCTTCAAAATGATGAGACCTATTTTTATGGTTGTCAGCATTAGAGTGGTTTAAGGATACCACCAATTAAGTTCGTTAAAGAGTTTAGTTAGTACGTTAGTTTATCTCTTTGTGGTTCTTTACCGGCTAAAGTCATAAAGCGAGCTTCAACTAAAGTGTACTTTCAAATGACAGTTGTAAATTTTATCGTTAATTGCAGTTTTTTGTGATTTTTTCTTGTTTATTTGCTTTCATTAAATGGATAAATGTTTGAGCCCTACCAATTGAAGGAGAAAATGGCACTTCTATCATTTAATTATGGAACCATTCAAAAGCCTAATGCAATTTTCTGGTCATGGTCAAATATATCAGTATAATATTCTAGTCTATATTGGTAGAAATTTCAAGTCAAAATGTGTAGGTCAAACAAGAAGAAATTCAAAGTCCATATGGTTTGATTGTGTTTTTTTTTTTTTTTTTTTTTTTTTTGGGTTTGGATTTTAACAAACTAAAGTTGACCGAACCAACAATATTGCCACTTCACTTACCTATGTTTATATTGTGTCGGTATTATATATATACACACATAAATGTTTAAAAGTAAGTTCAAATTAAACATTGCTAACTTAATGAAATTAGGCTGTAATTATTTTAAGGAAAAATGACACTTTTTATCCCTGAATTATATATTTATAACACTTTTTTCCCCTCAATTATTTAGGTAAGCACATTAGCCCCCTTAATTATTCTAAAAGTTGTGCTTTTTCCCCCTGATGTATTAAATTGACCTTTATACCCTTAAAGTAAACATTTTATTTATTTTACTTCTCCAACAAATTATTGCGTATACGTAGGGATGACCACCGTTCGGTTTGAATTGAACCAAATACTAAAGCAATCGAATTAATAGTTTTCGGTTATGATTCAAATCTAGAACCCAATATTTAAATGTCAATTTATTAAAATTATGTATCAAAAAAATTGAATATTGAACCGTGAACCGGCGGTTCCGGATCCGATTCGCGATTTTGAACCGTCTTTATTTTAAAATTTTATTTTTTATTTTAAAATAGTCTAAATTCAACAATAAATGTATTTTATTTTTTCAGTTCGGAACATGAACCGTCTGTTCCGGTTCACGATTTTAATAAACTCTAAATATCATATTTCGATTCTAAATTGTAATTGGAATATTTCGGTTTGATTGCTATAGTGTTTGTTTGGTTTGAACCAAATTATGGTCATAATTTGTTGGAGAAAAAAAATAAATGAAATATTTAGTTTAAGGGTAAATATGTCCATTTAACATTTCAGGGGGAAAAACAGCCACTTCAATAATTCAAGGGAAAAAAATACTATATGTATATAACTCAGGGGAAAAAAGTGTCATTTTCCCTTATTTTAATTATTATTTCGTTTTTCATTTGCCTAATTTACACAATCATGAATTTTTGTTTTCAGCAACTAAATGCGTGCACCCAACTAATAGTTTGTACCAAAGATTTAAATATACGTATCATATTGTCAAAATTAAGTCTTAAATGCCTCTATAGTCTACACAACTATTTCTACTTCACACATTTATGATTATGTCATACGAGGTGTTATAGTACTCTAATCTATAGTAAATTTTCTCAAAATATTTATTATTTGTTGGTCCCATAGTTAAATTATTTACTTTGTACACTCGTCCTTGTTATACAATTAGGTATTTAGGTTCACGATCTATATAATATTTATATAATGATTGCAAAAATCGCGCCTAGGCGCCCGGCCGCTGCCGCGAAAAAGGCCGGAATCGGCCTCCTCCGCAGCCGGCCGGCTAAGCGGTCTAGGCGGTTGCCTAGACCGCCTAGCCGACTGAACCGGCGGTTTATTTTTTTTTTTTTTTTTGCGTTTTAAATTGGGAAAGTTCGGGAAGGCATAACTTTTGACTCGGTTGTTTGTTTTGGACAATTTTTTTTCAAATCGCGTATTTTTTCGAGATCTATCCACCGCAAATAACCGAAGGCGGTTTGGTCCACTAATTTCTCAAAAAAATGCTTCTTTAGCTCTTAATTTTAGTTTTTTATGTATTTAGATGGTTTAAACAATCTTTTGAACAATTTTACAACCACTTTCATAAATAGTTTTTGAGAAATAACTATGGGAACTTTATGTTTTATTACTAAATTTTAAAAATTCTTAATTTTTAATTTTATTTTTAATTAAAAAAATTAAAAAATTAAAAAATCGGCGCCTAGGCTCTAGGCGCCCCCTTGCCGCATAGGGAGCGCCTAACGTTTTTTGCAACATTGATTTATATTGTAATAAATTTGAGGCCCCATTTTTACATTTTATATTTTGATTAAAGATGAAAATTCACCGTCACTATCATATGATGTGTTCGCATTAGATAAATGTCACTCATGTGTAATAATTTACAAAGCATACTAAAAATATAAATTTTATTATTATCATTTTTGGATGATATATAGCGAATGAAAATACAAATGCAGATCTTAGTAACATATCTCGAGCACTCTCCTATTTATAGGGATATACCCAACCTATCTTCGTTCATCACTTTCGCTAAGCCTTGCGGAGTTACATTATTTAGATCTATCCACCTATCCCTTTGGCATTATTGAACTCTCAAAACCTAACTTTTTAGTTCAAGTTAAATTTTTTGGGACCAAATTTGTAGGTTAGACAACATAGGGCAGATTATAGTGTGAACTATAAATAAATGTATATTTTTAATATATTGAATCAGGGTCGGCCCTTGGGGAGTTTTCCCAGGGCCAGCGCACATTTGGGGGCCCCTTAATTTATAAAAAAAAAAGAAACATACTATATATATTAGGGGTGTAGGGCACTAGCATTACCGCAGTAGGCAATTTAGGCTTCACCGTTTCAGCTTTGGAAGACTAGCAAAGTCCGAAGTGGCGAAGTCGACAAATCTCTCTTCCAAAAAAATAAAGCTGTCAAACACTGAAAGTCTGAAACATAAACCTATTATTATATTAAATATTTTATATTTACATAATCTGGAATAGAAAGACAGACCGCAGGGCGCAGACGAGACTCATGAGACAAATACTACAACAAATTGGTGAAATTGCTTACTGCCTAGTCTAGGTGTTTGAACATTTTTATTCTTTTAATTTTTTTTATTCTTTTAACTTTTATTCTTTTAATTTGAGGCTGCCTGTTTGTGAATTTTAGGTATTTGATTTAATTCGAATATTAAAATATTTAATTTGAATGTTTGTGTACTTGAAGTCTTGAACTAGATTAGGTAATTTAAATTTGGAAAAGACGATATATTTTATTCATTTGCTACTGATTCTTCAATTCTTTTTTATCATACAAACTCTCAAGTTCTTCCATTCTTTTAACAGATAATTAGAATTACGTATTATTTCACAATTCTTATATTGAGTTAAAATTGCTTAGAGAGATTTTATCGAAAGAAAATATAGGAGCAGCGAGTATATTGAATTCATTAAAACAGCTGGGTTGTTTTCCAAATGCTATTATTGCATATCGAATATTATTGACTATCCCAATTACTGTTGCCTCTGCATAAATGAGTTTTTCAAAGTTGAAATTATTGAAATCTTACTTACGATCAAGTATGTTGCAAGAGATACTCAATGGATTAGCTTTAATCTCTATTGAAAATGACATTTTGGAAGAAGTTGATATCAAAAGTTTGGTGGATGATTTTGCGTCTAAGTGTGCACGACGCATGTCACTTTTTAAATGAAATTTTAGATGTATTTTTTTTTACAATACTTATATTTTGAATTTTTGACACAACTTTTTGAACAACTATTATTATATATAATTTTTTTAAAAAAAAAAAATGGCCCAAATCCCACTGCTGGAAATTTTGCATTTTCCGTCCAACATTTGTTGGACGAAAAACGCGATATATTGGTCGGAAACAACGTTTCCGTCCAACATACCGACCAAAAGGAACGTTCGGAAAAACCTCCGTGGGAAATTTCGTCCAACTACAATTTTTGGTCGGAAATAGCGTCCAACGAACAAAATTGGACGAAAATTCCGGAAAACAACCCACCATTTTTAAAACGTGGAAACTTCCGATCAACTTTGTGCGTTGGTCGGAAATTCCATCCAACTACGTGCGTTGGTCGGAAATTCCGACCCAACGTTGGACGGAAAACTCACATATTATATTTTGTTATTTTCCTTCCCACTGTTGGTAGGAAAATCCTAAATCATATGGAATATTTTTATTATTTTTATATTACCATAATTTTATTTATAACTGTTGTTAATAAATTATGTCATCAACAAATTAATGAACACACTAAATTGAAAATATATTTAAACATCAAAATTATTTACAACAAAAATTATGTTCATGTTCATAAAAAAAAAAACATAAAAAATATATACTACTTGATTGATGTTCCGTACTACTTAAGTATGAAAATATACTTATTTGATACTACATAAGTAATAAGCCTTCAAATCCGGCACTGCTTCAATGGCTTTGATCAATGCAGCATCCACAACCTCCTTCAATGAAGTTGATCAAGTGTAAACCTTCACCAAAAATGGACCATGATATAAGTAATCTAATACTGAATGAGTAGATACCTATGCATTTT